CTTTTCTCTGCTGGAATCACTCCATTGCTTTTCTCCACCCGTTTTTGAGTTTTTTCCATGGTTTCCACTTCCTTGAACTGCAATTCTTCAGCTGTTCCTTTCTCTTTCTGATGGCTTTGCATTTTGTTGCCAGTTGAAGGCTCCTCCAGGAGAGTATCTATCTCTTATATCTGGACTAATACCACTTGCTCTTTTTTCGTCTTTGTTTTTTGCTTTGAATTTGGACATCAGGAGATTGAGCCTTTCTTTCAACGAACGCTTGTTAACATTGGATTTGAGATTGAAGCGGTTATTGAGTCTTGTGGCAATCTCATCCCACAATTTTCCTCTCTCAGCGTTCCCCTTTCTGGTTTAAGAAAGATCTGATCCCCTTACCTCTCTCAAAAATAATGTGTCATATTGATTTGGCCACTCCATTGTGCTGGAAGAGGGAACCAAGGTTTATTTTAGCAATTTATTTCAGAAACGGTGGAAACAATAGTTTTTCTTTTCCAGACTGAGTCCTTCTTTTGATTTATCGAATATTTGTTGGATAAAATTGTTCTGTCACACCCTTTACATATCCACACAAAATATTGCTCTAAATTCTGAGCACTTCATCGAAGAATTATTTCAAGTGTGGTTATCCAAGCCGTAAGAGTATATTTATATATTTATAAGCTATGTGGTGGGTTACCGTATTTATTCGACTATAAGCCGAGCAATTTTTACACAAATTAAAACTGAAGTGAATTAAAATTTGGGCTCTAGAGGGGGTCTCGGCTTATAGCCGAAAGTTTTTGAAAAAAAATTTTTCTGGCGCATGGAAAGTCTACTAAATCAAGATGTATTTACGTATATTAAAGCCGAGCTAAAGTAAAGAAACACAATATGCAATCGTTGGTTATTAACTTTTAAGAATGTGGTGGCTCCTAAAGGAGCCGTTTGTTAAATTTAATGAGTTTTCACAGAAAAGATAGATTCTTGATAGGGAATAACCGTGACGCTGACGGGATGTGATTACAAATCAATGGAACTTGACTGTTTGCTGCTCCAAATCTTCTGGCTGAGAGAGTGTTGTTTTGGTGCGAAGGCTGACGGATTGCGGCGCTTGCATTTCTGGTACCAGCCGAGGGACGCTTTAAACTCAGGATTCTCGCTGAATTCCTTTGCCTTTAGATGTAGCATCAATCCACTAACAGCTATTCCTATGCAAAACGAAGTGAGAAGGTTACCAAACGATCGAAAGGTTAAAAATTTGACACTTCTTGAATTTGTTTTGACATTTGTGAAAACTGGCCAATGAGAATCTTTCATACACAATGTTGTCACATGATACTACGATAGTTTTGAGAGTCGCACATTCAACTCATATTCACTCTGCAATCAGCTGATTGATTTATTTCGTGATCTTGTTTCTGTTCTTTTAAAATACAAAATCAATGCTTGACAAAAAACTTACCTTGGCTTCTCTGCTCTGTAAACCATTCCAGTATTCTTTGATCGAGCTCCGGATACTTCAGCGTGAAGCATCCCATCGTCTTCCGTTTCCTCGCTGTTAAAAAGGTTCGCTTGATCTTTCCTCCAGCGACGGACCATGGACTCACTGATGCCATATTCTCTGGCGACTTTAGAGTTATTTTCAACAGCTTCTGCTTCGGCGACTATTTTAAGTTTAAACACGAGGTTGTATGAGGTGCGACGAGCATTGGGCGTGATGACAACTTTACTTGAAATTAACGATTGCGAACACGAGATTGTTTGATAGACGCTACCGATGTCTAGGTACTGTTGATGCGGCTTAACAACACAGTTTTAAATTCATTTTTTGGAACACATTAATTCATCTGATTCGTTGCTTTTCAATTGAATAGTTAGTTACGGGTAATATTTATTAATTCGCGTGTGTTTTCTAAGAGGGAAGCTTTTTGGAAAATAAATCACCATTGCATCTCTTGTATACGCGCATGTGTGTTATCGTCTAAACCTCATTTATGACAATCAATGTGATTTTTTCCCGAAAATGTTAGGTTTTCTCGTAGTAAACAATTCAGTCTTGTAATAATGAATGGGTCTCGGCTTATAGCCGGGTGTTTTCGATTTATTTTTGGTTCTCGTTATGCCGAGTCTACACGTTCAAAATTTGGGGTCTCGGCTTATAGTCGAATAAATACGGTAATTGGCTAAGTGTAAAAATTTTGGACTGAAATTTACCTCTGTACTCTTTAGCAGGGTTTGACTCCAAAACTACGCAATTCTTTGTCAGCTAAGAAAATTCTGATACAAAATGCTACTAAGAAGTAAAATAAAAATGTATTGGAGTCAGTAAGAAATATATAGTGTTTTACAATAAAGAATTAGTTAAGAACAGAACAGCTTGTTTATCTTCACAGACCTACTTTGATTGGTTTGTCTTTACTCAACCTTCAGAATCTTTGGTCATTTTTCTGACTTTTGTCTTTGAAGAGAGTACAAAAAGCCGCTAGAGTTACCTGGCACATCCCTAGGTGGTTTGTGCTAGCAAAGAAACTGGACTGTTAGTAAAATGTTTAGAAGTACATCGTACCTTAACAAAGCCTTTCTTACGAAGGAACAATCATTCGGTGCATGTCATGTCTTGATCATGTCATACTATGCCATGATCACATGTGATGATGTCATGACCTGGTTACAACAGTTGACCACACTGTTTTGATATATAAAACAAAGCCAGCTGAAGTTATTGCTAAAAATACTCTCAAATCTGTTGTGTCCTTTCAAAATGCAATTTTAATAAAATGTACGATTTTTGTTTTTACATTTCATTGCTCTTTGAAATTCTGATACCTTAGTGTGGTTACCTATGTTGTAAGTTGTTACATATGTTCTTGAAAGAAAGCAAACTAAGAAACACAAGGTCCTATTTCTTTTCATAAAAATAGGTATCAACATTATGACGGTTGAACAAGCCGAGTTTATGGAACAATATATTAACAGTGGTTTTAAAATGGAAAAAAAAACAAACAAACGAACAAAACAATCTGGATAGATACATGTAACACTGCCATGTAAAGTTTCTGGTGTTTTGAATACGTTTGTTAGGATTGTCTTGATATTTCTGCTTATTTCATGAATCATCATTAACATATTGTTCTAAAAGCTCGGCCTGTTCAACCGTCATCATCTGTTGCTCTTCAAAATCTTCATCACTGCTCTTGTGACCTCTCCCTTCACCACTGCCCTCTTCATCACCGCTCTCGTCACTGCTTTGTTTATCTGTTCTTTCTCTACTGTCGTCCTTGCTTTTGCTGAGATCCTTGGCTATTGCCTTTTTCACAACTGCCTTCAGGTTCTGAAGAAACTTGCTTCTAACGTTCTTAGGAAGTTTTTCGCTCCTGAGGATGGCTTTAATCCACTTAACCTGGCGAAGCTTGAGAAGCTGTACCTTGTTCAGGTCAAGATCATTAACAACACCACCGCTTTTGTATGAGGGAGAAATGCTGGAAAGTACCTTGTCAATATTAACTGACATCCTTTTCATTTTCCTCGTCTTTGACTTTGTTCTTCCTTTTACCCCCTTTTAAAAGAGGGAAAGAGAAAGAAAAGAGAAGGCAGAAAGGGAGAAAAACCTGAGCTATGAGGATGTGGAGAGGGAGAAACTTCTTCGTGAGGATCTGCTAAAAAAGCAGAGTCTCGGTCCTCAACCTGTATATTGGACACCACAATCTGACATCTGAAAAGAAATTGTCTGAAAAAGACAAGCTGCACTTAGTGTCAGCTCACATTCAGTTGTCAGCAGCCATACAAAGTGTCTCCACTAGAAAAGATGCAAGTGGCTCTGAAGCAAACAAAAGCTCAGGAGCAAGTGAAGAGAGTAGTGAAGACTATGTTGTGCAGGAATTTGCGAGTGGTTCCTATGGAGGCCTATAAGGGACACACATGTTTTCTATTTTCATGCGACTTTTAGAGCCACTTTTAGTGCATGTAAGAAGGGATGTACATATTTAAAACTAGTATATATATTTTACTTGATTATGTTCTAGATTATTTTTCTTTTATTATCGATGGTTGTAAATTTACCAGTATTGCACAGACAGTAATGGCAGAACTAACATATGTTTTACGTGTAAGAGGAATAACCCCTCTAAGGAAGTTAAATGATTTTAGTCGTCTGATCATGCGCTCAATATGAACCCTTGAGGTTGCAACTCGTGGCAGTTGATGCTCGTGCAGATACATTATTCTTGCGCATCATTGGGGGTGCAATTAGTACAGTGTCATATATAGCTGAACGATCTTGAATGTTAAAGCCCTCATCAGCCATTACAGTATTGCCTGGGTTCAGTTTTTCAAGGAAACCACTGACATTTACAATCTCCTTGTCACTGATACTTCCACTATACAATTTTGAAACATAATTAACATGCAAAATAGTAGACATTGAAATAAGTAACTTAAATGTATTTGAGGATTTGTATTGACTGTAGGTAGATTTTTGGCTGGATGGTTTACCTGGTTTTCCAACATAGATTTCTGTACAATCTATTATTGCTCAGATTTTTAAAGCAATTCTATTTGATAATGATAGCTTATCTTTTTGCTGTACCATTGACCATTTCCTTTTTGGGGAGGAGGCTCTTGTGACCGATAGGAGTCATACTGTCGATGCCTCCAGAGCTCTGACGCCATGAAAAAACCCATACAACTAGGGCAAGGCAAGAAGGTAGCCGCAATCCCTCCTTCTACTTTTTTGGGCATTCGCACCATGATTAATTCTCCCTCACCCAGGGCCAACACGTCGCAGTTGTGTTGGTAATCACGTAAGAGGTGAAGCCTCCCAAATGCCAAATCTTGCTCCTAGGCAGTTTCTATGGTAAATGCTTTCGCCACTTGTGACTCACTTTTATGCTGTTTTGTTTGGTGTCTTCTGCTCTTTTTCTGAGGCTTCTTACAGAACTGTTGGCGATAATAGTAGCTTAGCTTCTTGCTGTACTGTTGACCACTTTTTTGGGGGGGGTGGGGGCTCTTGGCACCAGTAGGGGTCATACTGTCAGTGCTTCCAGAGCTCTGACGCCATGAAAAAAACCCATACAACTAGGGCAAGGCAAGAAGTTAGCCGCAATCCCTCCTTCTACTTTTTTTGGCATTTGCACCACAATTAATTCTCCTTCACCCAGGGCCAACACGTCGCCGTTGTGTTGGTAATCACCTACGAGGCGAAGCCTCTCAAATGCCAAATCTTGCTCCTGGGCAGTTTCCATAGCCATTGCTTTTGCCACTTGTGATTCACTGTCTGGTTTGGTGTCTTCTGACCTTTTTCTGAAGCTTCTTACAGAACAAGCACACATGTGAACGCTCACTTAAAACACATTTGTGAGGTCTTCCCTACAAAGAGATTTAAAGGAATGAAATCCGTTGTTCTTCTTTTGTTGGCATATTCGTACCACGATTACCTCTTTCTCCCCAAGGGACACCACTGCAGCTGGCCCAGTTTGGCCGACATTGACAATAATTGTAGGGTGGCAGTCTCTCTTGATCTCCTTTTGTTAAAGATGATTATTCTTGCCAGAGTCATCTTAGCCAAGCTGCTCCAGTGGCTGGTCGCAGTTTGTGTATCTTCCACTTCGTTTAAAATCTCTGAAAGATCTGCCATCTTTTTTTCGAAGTGATTTTTAAGCAACATAAGGTCTCCAGCTAGTAGCAGAATTTCTGCTTTGTTTTGCTTCTTTGACCCCAGTGAGGCGAAGGACTCAAAGACTCCGCCTCAAAGAGGTCAATGAAGTTCTGGCATTCTCTTATCGCTACCTAATTTTTTTTCCTCAGAGCTGATGATTTAAGAACTTGTGCACACTGTTTTATGCTGTGCCCAAGCTTTAAGGCCAGGGAGGGGACGTCTATGTCCAACCGAGATTCTTCCTTGAATCCACAAGGATCTTTCACTGCAGCAACTAGCTCGTCAAATCATGCAGTGTGTATGATGATGTCGAAATTGGCAGCTTCGTTTCCTTTCCATAATGTTTGGAGGAGCCTGGCTAACTGGCGCATTCTTTGGGAAACAATTTATGCTTTTTGTTTGCTTCTTTGATCCCAGTGAGGTAAGGGACCGAGAACTAATTTTGATGGTCCACTCCACCTCAAAGAGGTCAATGAAATTCTGGGATTCTCTTATCGCTGCCTCATCTTTTTTTCCTCAGAGCTGATGATTTAAGAACTTGGAGACACTGTTTTATGCCGTGCCCAAGCTGTAAGGCCAGTGAGGGGACATCTATGTCCAACCGAGATTCTTCCTTGAATCCACACAGATCTTTCACTGCAGCAACTAGCTCGTCAAATCGTGCAGTGTCTATGAAGTCATCGAAATTGGCAGCCTCGTTTTCTTTCCGTAATGTTTGGAGAAACCTGGCTAACTGGCGCATTCTTTGGGTAACATAATTTATGTTTTTTGTTTGCTTCTTTGATCCCAGTGAGGTGAGGGACCGAGAACTAATTTTGATGGTCCACTCCGGCTCAAAGAGGTCAATGAAGTGCTGGCATTCTCTTATAGCAGCCTCATCTTTTATATTTTAGCAAAGCTGATATTTTGAGCACTTGCACACACTGTTTTATGCTGTGCCCAAGCTGTAAGGCCAGTGAGGGGACATTTACGTCAAATCGAGTTTCTTTATTGAATCCACATAGCTCTTTCACTGTAACAGCTACAATCATCGTCAATAATGTTGGGAAAGTTATCACTTTTCACCTCCCTTCTCCTTGTTCCCCTCGCCCCCTGAATCAATGTTGGACAAAAGTGAATTTGTTTTTTGCGTAATTATTCTTATTTGTCCCAACACGGAATAGGGGGGACAGGGGGTATTCAGGAAAAGAGCAAGTAATCGTTTTTGAATATAGATATAAAGTGTTTTAAATAGCCTAATAAAGCTGTTGAGTTATTCAACCTTCCCTGCTTTAGTCCGTGATTGTAGCTTGTCGAATCGTGCAGTGTCTATTCCAATCTCGACGACTATGATAGTTGTCAAGATTGACAGCCTCATTTTCTTTTCTTATATAATGTCTGGAGGAGTTTAGCTTACTGTTGCATTCTTTGAGAAACAGAAATTATGTCTTTTGTGCCGACTTGTTCGAAGATAGCTTGGCGACAAAGGAAACGATTAGGGCATCTTTACTGGCAATGGCAAATATGTCGTCGTTTTCATAAAGGCGAGAACGTTGTTGTGGAAACTCTTTTTCACATCATTAGCAGACAATACCGTTGTCGATTATAGTAGCTTAGCTTCTTGCTGTACCGTTGACCATTGGGGGAGGGGGGGTGGGGCTCTTTGGACCGATATAAGGGGCAATATTGTTGATGCCTCCAGAGCTCTGAAGCCATGAAAAAAAAAAAACATAAAACTCGGGAAAGGCAAAATGTCAGCTGGAATCTGTTCTTCCTTTTTTGTTGGCATTCGTGCCAAAATTAACTCTCCCTCACCCAGGGCCAACACCTCAAAGTCCTAGCCCACATCCATGTAAACAGGCCTTAAAAGTATTTGTAATAGGAACAGAAAAGTACCTCTTTATATACGTATCAAGTTAAAATTGTGAACTGTTCGAGTAGATTTTCAATGTAAACAATTTCTAAGGATTTGCTTTTAACCTATGTTTTGATCTTTTGTCGTGATTATGACTACTGTAATGGTACATTAACTAGGCTTAATTTCTCGGTCTTAAACAAAATACTGGGACAATCAAATGCGCCCTTAACGTTACCCCACTATACTGATATCTACAATGTCCTCTCCCAAGTGCATTACACTGTCTTTTGCAATACAGAAACTGATCATCAATGCCGGGAGTAAAACTGATTTATGTCAAATATGTAAAAGAACACTGCACTATACAAGTTGATTAGCGATGCTGCTTGCTTTACCACCAACAAATAAAACGTCAGTTTTGCAAAAATAGAGAGTAGATCTATTTGTTTCATCAAAATCTGTACAGGTCGGGCGTTTTAATTTTACTAAATTGGTATTTACACAATTTGTGTTCGGTTTTAAAACTAGGTTGTTAACAGCAGTCTGATAAAGGATGAGGACAATTAGAGGACTAATTTATCCTCATACAGACGTTCTACAAATAGGTTTTTTTAGATCCTGCCACCTGCTTGATGTCTAGACTAGTACTGTTGGCAGTACCTTTCTGCTAGTTGCTGTAATTCTGTTGTGGATTATAGTGAAGGCAACTACGATTGAACTGTCGATTGACTTTTACTTTACGCCTAAGGTGGTACTTTTGTCAATCTACGTTGTCAAAGGTTGCGTCCCTTTTGACCAATCTAGATCCAGATTTTGCCATCGGAAACTAGACTTTCAAAAAAGTCCTTCGTCGCATTTCATATGGCGCGGGACGAAGGACTTTTCATACTTGATTGGCGCCAATTTTACTGACCCAAAAACGGGTCGGTGCGCTTGGACCAATCAGAGTAGCTCCCAAGGACCCTTTGGAGATAAAGCTGTCACCCACAAGTACTAAGCGCATTGAAACGTGACTTGCGGTTCCTATTCCAACATTGGGTAGATTGCAAAGTGGAAGGTGTTGACAGGCCAAACACGACTCATAAGCTCGTGATAGTGTGATACTAACCTTATAGTTTTGCTCCAACGGGGATATCTCCTAGCGATTTTGCTCTTTTATATAAAATGATGGGAGGCTCGTACATTTCTCTCGGTAGTGGTTGATCTTGAATTAAGTGCCATTTGCTCATTAAAATGTTTTTAAGGTTCTGCAAAGCAGCGTGGTACGTGGTAACGAAAGGCAGAATTTTCTTTTGTACTTCATTGTTCTTTTGTAAAGCTGACTTCCGTTCAGTAAATTTAACCTCGGAGGTAATTTTTTCTGAGATTGTGAGGGTAACCTCTAGCGGGAAGGCGTTTTTTGAAGTTGTAGGTGTGTTCATAGAAGAATTAAGCTGAGGAGTTAGTTCTCGGATGTCTAAGGGCTTCGCCCTTTATGAGACCTTTTCTGACCCCGTGAGGGTTACAGGAAGGGAAATGCGTGTATTGAAAAGTCTCTGTAGGTTTAAAATGTGTGCGGATGTCAAGGATTCCTTGGTTGTGAAATATTGACTCAAGATTGAAACAAGTTTTTGTTTTTTACCGGCCCCCTGAGGTCATGAACTTTCTCCAAAAATCATTGTTAGAGACAACTTTCTCATAAAGTAAACAAATTTGCTCCTTCGATGATGGAGATACACACACACGTTCAATAGATTTAGTCGGAGTGGAATCAACACATTCCGCCATTGAAGTCAAGGACTCACAAATGAAACCGAAAACCCCAAATGCGAGTCACGCCACTCCCCATTTTTGGCACGAAATGTGAATGGAAAACCATCAAGCGAGACAAGTCGACCTCTCGCCACTTCGTCGCTCATGGTCGGCCACTTCGTGGCCAAACAATGCTCGCTCCACTCACCAAGAGGTCGACTTGTAACAAGTCTAATCGGAAACTTAACTTTTCTTTCCATTAAGGACCAAACCAATCTGAACGATACACCGCTGCCCTAGGATCGTTCAGTTTGGCATGCATTTCAATTTGGCTTCGAGATTTTTGTTCCATTCAACAAATCAAACTGCTATTCAATCGTAAGAACGTGCTCGTTCATCAATAAACACAACGGGTTAAGGTCAGTTCAGGCAAAAGTTACTGATACTTCTCCATTCTATGCCGCTAAGGGATTGTATGATATTAAACGCACGTTCCATTGTAACTCTAAGATCTGTAAACTAGTGAAAACGCTTGCCAATGTGTGTGTATTTGTGGGCTTCTTAGCACTTGAGAATTCGTAACTGTCTTCTGAATTTGCAATTGTTTGAATCAAGATCCTGATAATTTCAAGTGACGAGTCCCAGTATAAGCCACTAGTTAAAGGGTTACTTTTCCTTCCATTTCTCCACAAGAAGACGCTTAATTTAGGGTAAAGAAATAAAAAAAAAAGATCCAATTAAATTGAGAAGAAGATCAGAGCAGCAAGCAGCTACTGAATGGATCAATTTTATTTCAGATTTTTTTTCTGGTCAGCACAAGAATTCAAACAATCTTGATTGTCTAAATCCGAAAAATGTTTGGCAGAAAGGAACGTAACCTTTAAGCGGGCCCTGAAGGGGAGGTACCAGTCCCATTTCCCGGCCCATTTTTTTTCGAAATCCCACTTCCCAGTGCTCAAATCCCATTGCCACTAGCAGAATTTGGAAAAAAACCCAGTGTTGTACATACCACCTCTTTTCGCTTCGCATCCGCAAAATTACGGCTTCTAAATACGACCCAACAAAGACCCAAAAATTCACAAGGATTTACAAAGATGTTCCAAAGATAACAGGATCATTTCAGACAGTAATGAAATTTGCAAGTAGCGAGTTTATAGCGATTAGTCCCTGCCACTTCACATTCCTGCCTGCAGGAAATCTGCCATCCGACTTGTAAGTGTTCTTACTCTTCCCAGTCTGGTCGGACAGATCATGTTTATTGTTTCAAGAGTGCTGTCTACCTCTTCTTAAGAGTCACTATCACTGTCACTCGCACTAAAGCTGTCTACTCATTCATTGTTGGGAGACTGGTGGTAAGCTGGCATCCTCATTTGAATTAGGTGGCTCATCACTTTCGCTTGGAAGTCTGTCTACGCCTATCAGTGAATTTTTAATTGACTGG